AAAACCCTATGCAGGGTCACTAAGAGTTGGAACCGAATCCAAGGCACACTACCAATATTTATGAAAGTACACTGTCACCTCATTCTCCCAAGGAGTGACTTATGGGTTTGAACTACTGACTTCTCAGTTAGCAACCAAGTGCTTACCCACTGTGCAGTCAGGGCATATGGTTTAGGAAATCCTGTGGGTTAGTTCTACTCTGCACCATCAGGTTGCTGTGAGTCAGACTTGACTTGATAGCAGTGGGTACGTCCTACCCCTTCCTGTGTCCCCATCCCCACCAGAGCTCCTGCACTGGAAGACGGTGCTGACCCACACTGAGTGCCCTGCCCCCTACAATTTTCTCCACTCTGAGTCCTGCCCCTGCCCCACTTTTCTCCTCTTGTTTTCTTTTCTTTCCCTTCCCTTGTTTTTCACCCATTCTTTCTCTGCTTTACTTTTCTTTCACTTTTCTTTTTCCCCTTCCCTTATTTCTTTTTTTTGAAACTAGTTTCTTTCAGTTTTCTTTCTTTACTATTCCTCTTTTCTTTTCCCCTCCCTAGTTTTGCTTATTGTATTTTTTTCTTTCCTCTTGTTTATTTTCCTTTCCTTTATTTCTTTTGAGCTATTAAATTCCTTTTTCTTATTGCTGTTTACCTACTTCTCCCTCTACTTGCTTTATTTTATTTTTTTGCTGTATTTTTCCCACCTGAAAGGAGACAACTGTGTCCACATAGCCCAGCCACACCAATACCTCCTGCAGCTCTATCTGCAGAATGAGGGCCACTCTCTGCTCCAGTACTATCTGATCATTGAAAGATAGCAGCCATCAATCACCAGCCAAACCTGCCCTCAGCTGTGTGCACACAGTGAACAGATAACTGCACACACACTCACATTCTTTACTCATACCCACCAGAAGGATGCAGGTGGTGAGTGTCTAAGAACACACCAATATATAATCACCATCAACTCAAAACAACACCACCACAATGTCTCAAAGACAATTTCAGTTCACACCAAGAAGCAAAACAGAGTCGTTCAAACAAGTGACTAAAATACAATGCCAGCCAGCAGACCTTTCTAAGGACAAAGTAATACTGAAAGTACTTGATAAGGAATATAACAGTATGAGACTTAGGTACTATCAATGGATTGAGAGAAAGGTCAAGAAAGCTGCAGACAAAAGTCAAGAAAAACAAAGAAAAAACTTTGGTAGAATTCAGGAAAATATTTTAAGAAAAAAAATGATATATGTAAACTTAGAAACATACAAAAACAGCAAAAATCTAGAAAATTAATACTGAGATTTCAGAAATGGATAATATACTGAAAGGGCAAAGAAGAAGAATTAAAAAACGCAAGGCTGAATTAATGAACTTGAAAGCAAATCTCTCAATACTAACTTGCTAGAGGTATAATCAGAAAAAAAGAGCAAAAATCCCAAGAAAGCTTAAGAACTATGTGGGACATTATCAAGAATAACTTCTGTGGGATCAGGATTCCAGAACAGGGTGGTGTTGTTGCTGATACTCATAAGTGCCATCAAGTTGGTTCTGACTCACAGCAACCCTGTGTAGGGTTTCCAAGGAGCAGTGAAGAAAACTTCCTTAACATCATGAAAGATGAGAAGATATGCATTCAAGAAGCTTAACAAACGCCAAACAGTATAGATCCGCTGCTCTGTAAACCTTCATCCAATTTACAATCAAAAGTTTAAAAAAAAAAAAAGGAATATTACTGCAGTGCAGTGAATTATTTAATGTCTCTTTTTTATTAACTATGTAGATAGAGTCTTTGCAAACTTCCACCAAACAACATTTGCCCTGATGGGTCAAGGTAAGAAAAGGTGGGAGCAAAGATGCTGACAGGATTATATGATCCAGTTGTGAGTGGCTAACAGTGTTAATGGTGATTGTGAAAACCTGGCATTCTAACATGTATAAAATGAACCCTCTCAGAAGCAGGAATGGAGGAGCCCACTACCATCCAAGAAGTGGAAGGTGTCTTTTGAACAGCGACCCTCACTGACCCAGGGACAGAAAACGGTGACACTAGAGTGGCAAAAGGGCAGCAGCAGAACCAGCAGTCAGAGGAGTGGGGTTCCCAGCTTAGGAAGCAAGCAAAGTGGAGTGACTCTGGGCAGGATACTTGCTTGCACAGTGAGGTACCTCCAGGCACTTAATTGGAGGAGCTATGTTTGCTGACCCATGGAGCTAGAGTCAAGTGCTTTTAAGTTGAGGCTCATATTGGAGTGGTGTTGGCCTGTAGGCATTTACCAACAACCCTAAAAAAGCTCTGTAACATTGACCAGGCAGAGAGAGCCCTGCCTGTGGGCACAGCTGAGAAGAGGCTGTCCTGACTGGAACAACTGTGCCCTGAGCATTTCTGACCCTACGTTGTAACCTGTTAACTTTCCTCATAAACCCTGTAAGTGTGAGGATGGTGTCTGAGTTTTCTGTGGCCATTGCAAAGGACTACTGAATCCAACTGAGTAGAGAGGGCTGTGGAGGAATGGTTTGTGTCATTATTGTTTGCAGTTACCAACATCTGTCTTGAGTACCACTGGTGGCTCACATAACCACATTTCAGGAGTTACTGCTTTAGGGGAAACCCTGGTATTTTAAACAACTCATCTCTGGGCTTTAGTCAGATCCTATAATATAATCTGGCTTTGTAAACAGACCTGAGAGCAGTACGTACTCTCTCAGATGAGAAGGAATCGTTAGAAACATTGAAACAAAAATGATTAATATACCGTATCTCCCAATTTCATTTCAAAGTATGACTCCTGACATGGCAACCTGGTCCCATCTGTTTTTTACATTAGTGGGAATATTTTCACATCACAGATCCAAACTGCTTTATGCTGTTCCCTTGGTTCATATGGAGAGTTTAAGGAACATGAGCAGCTGCCACAGATTCAGTAAAATGTGTACTCCAGACCAGGAAAAAAAAAAAAACAGAGAGAGCACATGCCTAACTCTGAATTACAGCAGAAGTTAAAGAATGTGTGCCCCAAAATAGAAGTATAGGTGACATTCCATTGGACCCCGAATGAAACAGAAATCTCACTTATCATTCAAGCATGGTAACTTAAATTTGTTCCCAGCCTAAGAACTATATCCACACCATTGAGTTGATTCTGATTCATAGCAATCCATGAGACAGAGAACTGCCTCATTCAGGATACAAGGCCATAAATCGTTATGGAAACAGGCTGTCACATTTTTCTCCTGCAGAGGCAGCTGGTGGGTTTGAACTGCTAACCTTTCAGTGAACAGCCGCGCTCTTCACCACTGCACTTCCAGGGCTTCTAACAAGAACTTAAGCGTAACCAAGACATTTTCATGACTATCAAGAGATACACACATGATTGTGCTTTCGGGACAAGACTTATGCTAGGAGAGGAAAACAATCTAAAGGATGAATTCAAAACAGACAATATTCACACTGATTAAACAGCACCTCCATTCAGTTACAATTCAACCATGTTTGAAAGATTTAAGAAGTATACTAGGAGAAACTTTAATTGCTAAAATGACAGAATGTCTTAAAAACTGAAACCAGAAGTCATGAGAAGACTCCTGGTGGGTTCTTTACCTGAAGCAATGTCGGAGGCCAGGGTGTGTGTTTGAGATGCCTCACTTGAGAGATATGGCGCCCCAGACTCCGATGGACACTGCAGCACTCGTCACATATAAAAGTCCCTCTGTTGACTGACGCCCAGGAAGGATCTGGAAAGACGAATGAAATCTCAGTGGCTAGATACCAGTTAGTTGCTACACTGCCAGCTAGCAAAAGATGACTGAGCTTTGGTTTAAAAAAGAAAAAATGAAATTTTTGTTGGTTGAATATGCCAGCCAATATTTCAAGCTGGTGATCTTGCCTGATCCCACCTATCCTGGCTGATTCAGTACAATGTTAACTGATACTTAGCAGGTCTCTTCTTTCTGGTTATGGGCTACGGTCTGGAGCCTGATGTGGATCTCCCATCTCAAAAGTATGCTTTTACATTCAATGTAGGAGAAACAAACTGAAGGGATACACACAAGTTATTTCAAATCCATCTCCACAAACAGGAAGATAATGCAATGTTGACAGTGAGTTAGCAATATAAAATTATCTACAGCAAAAGGTGAAAATTACTACTACTGTAATCCACAGCTCCAAATCTACATGTCTCTATGCTTAGCAGAAAGACCGCTGTCAATGACAGAACTAGAAAGCTGTTCAGCTGCTATGGTTCTGAGGACAAATGAGGGAATGCCTCCTGTGATACACATTACTGTTGTTAGTGGTTGTCCAGTTCCAACTCACGACTCATGGGAACCCCACATATTACAGACGAGAATTGCTCCACTGAGCTTTCTTGGCAGCATTTTAACAGAAGTAGATTAACCAGGCTTATCTTCCACTGTACTGCTGATGGGTTCGAACCGCCAACTTTGAGTTAGCAGTTGAGCACATTAGTTGATTTAAATAAACTACTAACTGAGTCCACCCCTCCAACTGATCTGAAAATAACATGGCCACAATAACAGCAGCTTCCAGAAGCAAAGATGTAAAAAAACAAAAACAACCAAATAATATTTTTGATGTGTGTACACTTTTTCCTACAAAGTCTCACAGACATCCTTTGGAACAAGTAGTAATCCACACTTGGCAAACAAGATGGATCTGGATAAGTAAACTGAGCACTTTGCAACCCAAAGTAAAGGAAAACCTCCTACATTTCATCAGACTCACAATGGGGTGACAGTAGGTGCCACTCAGGCAGAGTGGTCTCAGGGTTATGCTTTAAAATTCTTCAATGTCCGCAAAAATTTCTAAAATGCATGTACATCATCTTTACCACTTTAACCAGTTTATTCAACCCCTTTCAAACCATATAATGAAAAGTTATGGGATTTCAATAGAAGACAAATCTCGGGAGTCAGAGAGTGTAGTGGTTAAGAGGGTTGGTTGGCTTTGCAGACAAAGCAATCCAGGGTTTGAACCCCAACTCTGTCACTTTTCACACAATGATCTCAGGCCAGTTACTTCTGAGAGCCTCCTCTCAGAATAACACATATATCTGGTATGGGACATTAAGAGTAAGTAAAGCATGTCCCATATAAGTACTCAGTCAGGTTAGCTGTTCTTTGTTGTTGTTAAGTATTGTGGACTCGGTTCCAACTCACAGCAACCCTGTATAGAATTTCTGAAGCTGTCAAAAGCCTCATCTTTTTCTCATGGAGTGACTAGTGAGCTGTAACCACCAACCTTGTGGTTACCAGTCTAGTGCTTACCCTACAAAGCCACAGCACTCCCTTAGTAGTGACATCTTTTATAAATTATTTTCTAAGCACTATCAGATATTTCAAGAGCCCACTGAAATTCATGATTACTGAAAAAATATTTTAGACTGAGAAAAATGTAAAACACCAAGTATCTTGTATGACTACTATACCACCTTGGTGAAAGTCCAAACAGATTTTTTAGGTAATTGAACTAAAAGTGTGATGTAGTTCAAATGAACTACATGCGTTTAAAATAAGGAAGTAAAATATTTAAGAAGAAATCATCATTGTTAAATACTTGCCATGAAATAAAATGAATCATCGAAGTAAAACTATATTAGTACTACTGTTGTTCCACTGGTAGCGACCCTGTATAGAATTCCTGAGGAGTGGCTGGTGGATTTGAACAGCTAGCCTTACAGTTCAAACTGACCTTGCAGTCCAGCGCATTATCCTGCTGTGCCACACCAGAGTTTGCAGTACTCTGTACCAGTCTAAAAAACAAAGATTATAAGCACAAAGATAAAGGATCCTAAAAGAATACACAGGAGCGCGGCGGCTCCATATGATAAGCATTGGACTGGGAACTACAAGGTCCGCAGTTTGAGGCCGCCAACTGCTCTTCAGGAAAAAGATGAGGTTGTCTGCTCCCATGAAGATTTAAAGCCTTGGAAACCCTATACAGGGTCACTATGAGTCAGAACCGACTCCATGGCTGTAACAACAGCAACAACAAAGGGATACACAGCAACATTTTTTTTTCATAGTAGGGTACTGTTACTTACAATAGGAAAAGACAAAAAGAAGACAATTTGTTTTGAAGCATAGCTTTGATTTTCACATATCACCCAGATAATTCACAGTATTCTTAGAGGAAATGGAACAAGACTAAGACAGCAAGGATTTAACACATCAAACAAGGTTCTCTCATACTTTGGACACATTATCAGGAGAGATCACTCCCTGGAGAAGGACATCATGCTTGGTAAAATGGAGGGTCAGTGAAAAAAACAAAGACCCCAAAGAGATGGATTAGCACAGTGGCAAAAACAATGGGCTTTTGCAGTACTGGGCAGTGTTTTTTTCTGTTATGCATACAGTCGCCAAGTGTAGGTCTCATTGGCACCTAACAACAAAAAAGTTCCCAATAAACCACTTTGACATCATGGGTAGAGTACCAATATGTTACAACATAGTAAATCAAAAATTGAGTTTGTTTTAAGGCTGGGTGAAATCTCTTCCAGTTTACTTGGATGTTTTGGGTCAGGGCTTCTTGACCTGGGGCCCTTGAATGTAACAAATGAACTTCAGAAGTGCCCTGTAGCCTCAGAAAAATATGAGTCCAATTTGGTGTGAGAGAATGTACCTGTGCATTCCTTGGGGCGAGGGGCCTTAGCATTGGTCAAACTGGAAACGGTATCCTCAACCCTCAAGGCAACCCTTTCACTAGAGCTTTGCAGAAAAGGCAGAACAAATTCCTAGCTGCTCAAGATCACAGAACATTTCAAGGTAGCCTAATTATACTCAAAACAGGAAGGAAGTGACTCAAGTCTCTCTAGATTCAGCATATGAGACAACAACTAAAATGATACAAGGGTAGAGAAAAGGTTCTGAAAGGCACAGAATGCTGCAGAAATGCACCCTGGTACTTAGGCTGGCAATGGAGAAGCGACTCTCCTTTGCTCCATACCATCCATTGAGAAGTAAAGGATACTCATTCCAAGAGGAAGTTTGAAGCTAGACACATGTGAATCAAATGTGACGCAGAAAGTTTAACTGAAAACAGGCGAGAAAAGAAGGAAGTAGAAACAGCATTTTTAGAGACCACGATGAACTTCATATAACCCATTCTGATTGGTTTATAAAATCTTTTTTTTAAGCCCTCCACCCCTCTCTAGTCAAGAAGAGAGGTAACCCTGCTTGCACTATAAAAAAAACACACATGAGGTTTGAGTTATCATGTTGTGGTTAATTGCCGTACAGTCGACTCTAAGTTATCATCCAAAAAATCCACTGTTTGTTGCTGAATCGATTCTGAGTCATGGTGCCCCTAGAAGACAGACTAGATCTACTCCCTAGCATTTCCAAGGTTGGCATCTTACTGCAGTCGACTATGCCATCTTTCTCCTGCAGGGCAGCTGATGGATTCAAACCACTGACCTTTAAGTTAGCAGTCATACTCTTTAACCACTGTGCCACCAGAGTTCCTTCAAGTTACCACTGTTGTTGTTGTTGTTGAGTGCCATCGAGTCGGTTCCGACCCATAGCGACCCTGTACAGGGTTTCCGAGGGTGTAAATCTTTACGGGAGTAGAAAGCCTCATCTTTCTCCCGCGGAGCGGCTGGTAATTTCGAACCGCTGACCTTAAGGTTTGCAGCCCGATTCGTAACCACTACGCTACCAGAGCTCCTTTGTACTATTTAAAACCAACCTCAACTTCCAAATAACAAGATGAAGTTCACAATGACTTCATGATGATTGTTTACTGGACACTATTGTGCCAAAGAAGCCATCTTCCTTTTTAATTACTTCAAGCTCAAAACAGATAAACCCAAGCCCTGAAAACATCACAGAAAAATCTAGCTGTAAAGGCCTGTCAAGTTCCAAGTGCTATGACAGACCTGAATTCTAAATCTGAAAAAGACGCATCGACGAAAATGCTATATGCCTTTATACTGCTGAATGCTCAAATGGTTATACTGCCAGTGACTTTGTGCTTGTTCGTTTTAGCTAAGTTATAATGCGTGCATAATTTAGAAATTCAAATCTAGCTTAAAAGGACTGTCAGGCTTCTGTAATAAAGAACACAATATAAAAAAGGAGAAGTAAAGAAAACAAAAACAAAAAGTTGGACAAGCTGATCATATGAATACTCATTGGTTTCCCTAAACACTGAGCACATTACTCCCGATTGCCTCCATCAGAAAAATGAGGAAATCAAGGCTCGGCCAAATGAAGTCACAAGCCCAAGGTCATCCAGACCTAGTCTGCATCCAGGCAGTTCAGGTCTCCGAAACTAAGACACGCTCTGCCTCTTAAGTACTAGCTGCTTCCGAAGACCCCGAAGTCTGAAGACTCTTCCCGGTGGAGTGGGAGCCGAGATGCCAGAAGCTGGGAAGCAATCTGCCCGTGGGCCCCCTAGCGGGTCTCGCTGAGGGAAGCCACGAGTGTCGGCCCCTCTAGGGGGTCCGGATGGCTGGTGTATATGGGGGTGACACCTGCAGCCTCTGGGGCCCGCAGCCGGGAAGATGCTCGCGTTTGTAATTGGTTTTCCTGTAGCTTGCCCAAGCCCCTTCCTGTTGGGGGAGCAGCTCCGGCCCCCGTCGCCTCCCCGGCCGGCCTGGGACGGAGGGGACGGAGGGGAGGGAGTGACGGGAGGGGTGCGGCCCCCTCCTCGCCTGGCTCTGACAAGCCCGGGACGGGCCCCGCCCAAGGCTCCCCCGGTAGCCGCAACCCGAGCCAGGGAGCGTGGGGCTCGGCCGCCGGGACTCGCCCTCCCCGAGGGGGCGGCCCCGGGGAAGGGGTCCGGCCCTGGAGTGCAGAGGGAAGCGGGCCCGGCCGGTGCGACTCACCCGGCCCACTGCAGTCAGCGCACACCTCGCTGCTCCGGAGCCGCTTCGACATGGCTCCTGCCTCCCACTCGCAGGGAACTAGGGGCCCCGGGACAGCGAAGGCGGCGGCAGCAGAGCTTCCGCTCTAACGGGTCCCCGCGGTAGCGCTGGCAGGAGCGCCTCTCCCCTCAGCGCCTCGGAGCCCGGCGCAGCGCGCACGCGTGGGGAGGCACCCTTCAGCGGCGGGTAGGTCATGTGACCGGAAAGGGCATACTGTCTTGTCGCCTTCTTGAGTGAGGGCAAGATGCGTGCTTTAGCATCCTTGGCCTTACTTTTAAAGTTTAAAATTGGAGTCTCCGCTCTGGGTTGCTAAGGAGCCCTGATGGCGCAATGGGTTAAGCATTGGGCCTGTATCGGTAAAGTCTGTAGGTCGAATCCACTAGCCGCTCTGGAGGAGAAAGATGTGGAAGTCGGCTTCTGAAGAGATTGTTGTTGTTGCCTTTAAGTCGGTTCCGACTCATAGCGACCCTGTATGAGGTTTCAGAGGAGTGGCTGGTAAATTTGAACCCCGACCATGTGTTTCAAACTGACCTTGAGGTCCAATGCTTTATCCCCGCAGCGCCACTCCAATCTTGAAAACCCTATGGGGGCAGTTCTGTGTCCTATAAGATGACTATGAATTGGAATCTACTGCAGGGCAAGGGGAGGGTTTTTTCCTTTGGAGAAAAAGTGATAAATTCCAGAGGAAGCTGCAAAACCTTGTGACCACAGACCTCTGCCACAATCTTCCTGAGACAATGAAGTCACTTAGTGTAACTTTGGCCAAATTAGTTCTTTCATTAATTGAAAAAATATTTATTGAGTGCCTACTATGTGTCACTGATCTAGGCATTGGAGAAATAGCAATGAGAAAAGCAGACAAAATATCCCGACACATGACAGCAACAATGGACTCAAAACATACCAACAATTGTGTGGATGGTGTAGGACAAGGCAACGGTTCGTTCTGTTGTGCATAGTATGGATGAGTCAGAACCGACTCCATAGCACCTAACAACAACATGGTGTTTACGTTCTACAGAGGTTGTTGTTAGGCGCCTTTGAATGGGTCTGACTCAGCCACTCTATGAAATGCTGCCTATTTTTGCACCATCCTAACGAATGTTGCCATGTTTTATTTTAACTTGTTGTTGCAGCCACTGTGTCAATCCATCTCACTAAGGGTCTTCCTCTTTTTCATTCACTCTCTAGCAAGTATGGTGTTCTTCTCCTGGGACTGGGGTAGATCAGATCCAGAGCCATATCTATGACAAGGAACTGCAATTGCGCCCTTGTTTAAACAAGCACTGAAATTGTGCCCTAGTTCAAACATTTGACACCATCTTTCAGGTAACTTTACCATAATATCAACTCAAAAAGACAAGTCGTTGAGGTCTATCCCAATGGGGCCTTTCCTGTAGACCCACATTGTTGGATGCCTCATAGAGTAACTATGTGGTTTTGCTTTACTCATAGAACTATTTGTTGGATCTGTGAGAAGAAACTACAAGACAGTATGAAAGATGAAAGTAAAAAAGATGTAATAGTTAACTTGTTTTGACTTTAGGTATTGACATATCCTATTATCTGCAGTTTCTTGGGAGTGAATGAGATTTCAACTCAGGATATCTGACAACAGTCACCGATTCCTAAAATGGTCCTGAGATGAGTAATTTGAAAAAATTCCAGGTACCAAATTTTTTGAAGTATATTCTTCAGATTGTCCATGTCTAATTGGGCAGCACATTGTGGCAGTCTTCAAGATTTGGTGTGATCATCAGTGGCTGATGATTATGATGATGATCTCTGGAAACCCAAGAACAAGGACTATCTTGAAGATACAAACTCTGGAGAAACTACAAGTCCTAGGATGATGGGACATTGAATCAAAGACAAAATGTAAAGTTCCTTAAATAAAATTTATTAACATTAAAAAAAAAGACAAGTCAAGCTTATGAATCTTTTACTCAACATATTGTGGCAGCACATGAAAATCACAACTGCATCTTCCTTGCTATCACTGATGAAAATTAATCTATGATGTGCTCCAAGTCATTTGTCCCCTGTTTCTTCTCTTTCTACACTCAGCAGAGCAGGATCATGCAGTCTGTCTTGACCCATCCAATCCAAAACCAAGCTGATTGTCATTGAGTCAATTCTCACCCATAGAGACCCTATAGGACAGAGTAAAACTGTCCTGTACGGTTCCAAAAGCAGACCACCACATTTTTCATTACCACATCTTTCTTCTGCAGGGTGGCTAATGGATTGGAACTGGCAACCTTTTGATTAACAGTCAAATACTTAACCACTGTGGCACCAGGCTTTCTTCTTTGATCCATGTTGTTCTTGTTGTTAAGCGCCATCAAGTTGTTTCTGACTCAAAGGGATCCTGTTTGGGTTTCCGAGGAGCAGCTGGTGGGTTTGAACTGCTGACCTTGTAGTTCCTAGTCCAGTGCTTATTGTACAGCATCACACCAGGAGTCCACTCTTTGACCCATTGTTGTTGTTAAGTGCCGTCGGTCGAGTTGGTTCAACTCAGAGCAACCCTGTGTAGGGTTTCTGAGGAGTGGCTAGTGAGATTTGAACTGGTGATCTTGCTGTTCAAACCAACTTTGCAGTCTAGCGCATTAATGAACAGTGCCACACCAGGACTCCTGGAGGATGTCAAATACCAAAGTATTTGCGTTAAGTTGCTGAGTGAGCTCTCACAACTGGCAATGGAAAGAAACTGCTCGCGGTGCCCCTTTTCAGGTGGTACCTAGGCATTGTCTCTAACTTAGCTTCTCTTCAGGGTAGATCTATAATCAAATAAGTAAAACATAGGCCATGTTAGAAGTGTCCTTCTTTAGGCTACAGTTTTAATCTCATCTGCAAAATGGAGATAATCTGTGATCTACCTTCAGCTCACAATTTGTTTTTGTATGGCCTGCTATTTACAGTTTCTAAGAGTTTGAAAGAGAATTTTTAATAAAAAAAAAGAGAAAGAGAATAATGAAGAAGGTAAAAAATATGCCAAAACATGTAGGTGACCCACAAAGCCTAACAATTTACTATCTGACCAGCAAGAAATGGATTGGTGGTTGGTGGTTATGTGCCATGGAGTCGGTTCTGACTCATAGCGACCCTGTAGAGGGTTTCTG